GATTCATTTTGATAGAAATTACGGAGAATGAAGCCAAGCAATTTCCGCATTTTGGATGCTTTGGCTGAGATGTGTTCAGAGAAATTAAGACTGTGTGAGTAATGTACCCCTAGGTCAGTTACTGATGCCAGTCTGGACAGTGTGTGATCGCTAAGTGTTAGTTTTATTTTAAGAGACGTGTCTCCTATACATAACCAGCCGCATTTCTCTATGTTGAGCTCTAACCTCCAGCGTTTGCACCAGTCATCTAGCATGTTGAGTTCATGTTGGATTGTTTGCATAGTACTGCGTAAATCGCAAATGTCAGTTTTATAGATGACTTTTAAGTCATCGGCATAGAGGTAGGTCTCACCTGTGCTAAAACACTTGCATATATTGTTGATGTAGATTATAAAGGGGAATGGACCCAAGACACTACCCTGCACAACACCACTGGTTATTGGTCGAGGTGTAGATGTATTAGAGTTAATCTTGGTTATTTGATATCTAAAGCAATCAGTCCCTTTTATAAATTTCGATAGAACAATGAGAAGACGGAGTTGATGCCTTGACAAGTATATGTGTGACCAGACTGTTCGAAATGTATAGCGCAAATATATCACATTTTTCAGATCAACTCCGTCTTCTCATTGTTCTATTTGATATCTGTTCGTAAGAAAAGACTTGATCCATTGCAAAAAGGGATTTATAATTCCAATTGAGTTCAGTCTGTTGATTAGAAGATTATGAGGTACTTTATCAAAGGCTTTCTTAATATCGAAGTATAGTATAATAACTAGTTTCTTCTGGTCACGTATACGAGTAACCTCGTTAAAGAAATCTATCAGGCATGTACTGCACGACCTTGTTCTAATGAAGCCGTATTGTGACGGGTCTATTAGATCTTCCTTGAGTAGGTGATCAGATAGTTGATTTTGTATCACTTTTTCCATTATGCGTGATATGACTGGAGTGATATTTATAGGTCTGTAGTTTTCAACCAGGTTTCTCGGTTCGTATTTGTGTTTGGGAAGAACATACGTTACCTTCCAGGTTTCCGGATATGTACCTGTCTCTAAAGATAATGTGTATATTTTGAGTAGTAGCGTCTGTATGTCCGGCCCTGACATTTTATAAACGATTGAAGGGATGTCATCGGCACCAGAACTCGCATTTGGCTTAAGGGTTTTAATGGCGGTATGTATACTCCTAATGTCGAAGTTTACGGTACCAAGATAGTTTTTGCCGGTGCACTTTATGTCGATATCTGGGGCATCAGATGTATTCCCATTGTGAGAAAACCATTCACTTAATAGTTCACATATGACGGTTTGGTCATTATACGTTACTCCATCGTGCAGTAAGGAGTGAATGTTGTGGTCTGTGTTCTTTCTTATGCGTTTCGCGAGGAGACGACATAGGGCTTGGGCTTTAGATGCAGCAGCGAGCGCAGTACGTTCCTCTACCTGTTTATGCTTGTTGTGTTGACTTTGTACTCCGTCAAGCACAGAGTATATTTGGTGCAGGGCACTGAAGTCTTTTGATATATAGTACATCCTTTTCAGTTTAGACCTAATCTTTTGGTTTATATAGGGAGTAACTGTTTTAAAACCAATTTTAGAGGGTATAGTAGTGTCTAGTGCAGATTTGGTGGTGATATTGAATATTTCTAATGTTTCTAAGAGGTTATTACTAGTAAAGAAACTGCCCCAGTCAGAGTGCTTTATTAGAAATCGAAAGTTTTCCCAGTCAGCGTTTGCATAGTCTCTATATTGGAATCGCGTTTTTAATGTCTTTAATTTGTTGCATATGGCAAGAATCGGAAGGGTGCAGAGGACTATTTTATGATCGCTGTTGTGAAACTTTTCGCTAACCACCATTGATGTTGGTGTGACATTATGACAGAATATCAAGTCAAGAATGTTGTGATTTCGTGTAGGCAGGTGTACATGTTGTTGCCAGCCGTGTATGTCTAAGGACCTAAGTATGCTTTCAAAGCACAATGGGCCAGAATGTGTTTTCCAGTTGATTGTGGGAAGGTTGAAGTCACCACATACAATTTTGTAAGTGAAGTCAAGCGAGGCAGCCTGAGCAAATGACTCACTTATAATAGTGTCAGTTGAACTAGGAGTGTTAGGAGCTGGATATATGCATCCGATTAGTATTTTACACTCATGAGTGTGCACAGTAAGCCATATCGATTCAGGAAGTTTGCTGAGGACGTGGTCGCTATAGATTTCCGCTCTCAATTTTTTTGATACATAAACGAGACAACCACCACCCTTTCATTATTATTATTATTATTATTCACAAACATCTTATGGGTACATAAGTGTTGTGAAGAAACCATTTCGGGTTTCTTCAGAAAATGCAATAATACACAATTTTCAATAATGTTAGCATTATACTTGCCATATTTAAAAAAAAATAATAACAAAAATAAAATAAAAAATTGAGAATAATAATAGTAGAATATTAATAATAATAAATGGGGTCTTTGTAATTGAGAAGAATATTGAATTGAGTTTAAAGAAGGAAATGGAGAAAATAAGGGAATAGAAATAAAGGAGACGTGAAATACGCAAACAGTCTAATAGGGGTGTTTATGAACACAAAACAAGAATAAACGACTATGTGTGTATTGTTAAATTAGTAAGAAAAAATAATTTATCAATGTAGTAAGATATGACACTAGAATAAATGTTTGTGCAGTTATAATTTAGAGTGATGCTATGAAAGTCACAATTTAGTGAAAAGTATAATAAAATATCACTATGTATGAGTCATATATGCATAGTGAAGATGAAACGAATCTGAGAAGTTAATTAAAGTGTAACACAAGTTATTGTTTTAATTACAAACTTCGTAATATTAAGAAAAATATTTATTTAGAGGGAAAGAAGAGAGAATAGAAGTGAACACTTAGTGACTCGATCACAGCGGAAGAGCTCATAGGTGTCTATTTGTAGATATGTGTCTGTGGTATCGGAGGACAGCCAACTTTCCGTTATCAAAACAAATGAGGGGTTGTTTAGAAGTAATAGGGTGCGTAGGTAAGTCATCTTACTTTGTACAGATCGAGCGTTGATTAACATAAGTGTCAGGTACGGTGACTGTTTGTCTAGTAGAAGGGTATGATGTAAACCAAGTGGTTTGTCTGTTTTGCCATGAGAAAAGGAAGAATTGGGAGCGTTGACTCCATATTGATGAGCGTTTCGTTTATTACCAGTAGGGTTAATGCAAGAAGGGTAGTCGGGTGTGGTTTTGGTGATAGAAGTATGTCTATGCTTGTTTTATTCGCTCTCACAGCAGTCTGTTGCCGAAGGTATCTGGTCAGCGGACATTGAGTATCTTGTGTAGACAATTGTTCATAAATATTTGTGCCTTATTGACGATGGTTGTGGTAGTTCTCCAGACTTCATCTCCCTACAGTAGGACTGTTTTGAGGTTCGTATTGAAGATTCTGACTGTGATAATTTGGATGTACTCATACTAAATAAGTCAATGTTAATTCCTAGAGGTATATCGTCAGATAAGTAAAACATTCATATATAACAGGAAATAGAAGGAAGCGCAACAACTAAACAGCTACTCTGGCACAGATGGATAAAAAAATACCCGCCAGCGCTTCGGACGAGATCCGAGTGTCTGGACATGAGAAGGAATCTACAACTGGGAGATTATTTGTTAATAAACAATATTGGCCCACAGATGAATCTGTGGCCGAAAGCTATAAATAAACAGGCCAATTATGTGCCAGGTGGACGAGTTAGGAAGGTTAGGCTGAAGACAGCAGCCGAAGATATCTGCAGGGAATTACGAAGTTTGTGCCTATTGGAAGAGGCCGATTAGTTGAACACGACAGTGGTAAAGCCTGGACGTGATGCCCGCTTAGTAGGATGGTAGTCATTTCCATAACTTACCAATAAAATCGTTGCTTAAGGGCCTTCCACTTGATTGTTCACAGTTTCTTTCGAACCCATTTGACGTATGAAGTACGACATTTTCTCCTTCACTGCAAAAGTATAAGAAAATCCATAAGTATTTCCTACGGCGATCCACGAAATCATTTTAAAGACACAAGTAAGTGAGTAAAGCCTTAGGTCTATGAGGGATAGAAAATGTTGATTCAAAAATAGTTGCAAAGATGTTTAACAAAGTATAGAGATGATGAATAATGTAAAAAGTACAAACACACTGATAAGATTCTCGAACATAATATGTGTCATCAGGCGTAGCGTGTTCAGTTTTTGATCACAATTATAGTTAGAAACTAACAGTTGAAAACACGGTATCTTATTCTTGGCAATATGTATCGCAGATAATCTAGAGATATGGATACAAATGTGATCTGCAGATTTGTACATCAATCGCGCCAACGATCTGTCAACATGGTAGCCAACTGAATGAAAACTAGGAATGCATGAACACCAGTGTATGTAGAGACAAACACGTAATGTAAGGAGAAACATTGAACTTAACGATATTCTAGTTATCAGTAACAACTTGATAGAATCATTGAAATTATAAAAAATGTGTATAATGTAAAAATCGCTTACGAAATAAGTTTATGCTAAACACTGTAAGTCAATGGAACTACTTTTCCGAATGTAGGCTACTTAGACTTATTATTTTATTGACCTACTACATCCTAGAAACCTTTATGCCTTCTGCAGAATACTTACTAAAGTCTGGTCCCAGCACCAATTTTATGGGGAATACCTGGAAATTAGAGGTACACCGTACTAAAGTGAACTGTGAACATAATTTCTCCTCATCACAAGCAGTCAAGTCTTGGGATTCTCTAAGGGTTGGTGTAGTCCAGGTAACTTGCCTATAGCCCGTCAGAAGGAAACTTGCTATATTTCTATGTACTTGAAAAACATTAATTCGTAGACATTTATTTCATATACTCGGTCCCTTCCCAAAGAAATTGGAGTTTCACTACTGCTAGACACGGAAGCTTGTTGAAAGAAAGCTTCTTATAATCTGTTGAAAAGCATTTGTACAATTTGTGGACGGATGATTTTATTCACATGATGTGGGAGCTTTAAATAATAACGTTACATGTCCAACTGGCAAGCTGTACTGAAATGTCATCTCTGCCTAAGGATTGTCTAGAAAACGTGGCAATTAAGGAGTTTCAGAAAAAGTACAAGCTTGATTTTGATGAGATATTTGATCTTGCTCAGACATTTTTCAATGGTGAGATATGCTCAAATAGAATATTATTCAATCTGACATCTAGAGAAAGCTGAGAAGGCGTTCCACTTAAGTTTTGACGACCGGATTCATCTTTCGGCCCTCATATGTATCAAGAAGTACGGAAAGTACGATCGAACAAAAACACCAGTACCTGGGCTTCTTGATTTTATAGGGCAGAGGAGAAAGTAAGTACAGTTATTAGCCTAATACTGTGTACTTGAACGAGATTTATTATAAGGTCAATAAATTTTGATCTATAAATAAGAACTTTTGATCCGCATATATATACATATATTATGCAAAACCAAGGAGATAAAGTGGATATACCTCTTATACATGGTTCAAAAACTTGTCAAGGTTAGAAAGAGGTTCAGAGGTTCCGAAATCGTAGTGCATGCGGTAGAGGAAATCATCCAAACGGCTACAGAATAGTCGGCCTCTGGAGCCACGATAGTCCCAAAAGCTCTTTCAGCCTCGACCACTAGCTTCAATAGTGTTTGTGTGCACTCCGGTTGTTGAGTACACAAAATGCTACTTGTGGATAACGACATGATGCAAATAACCAAACCTATGTGGGAGTCTGTACGCTCTCCAAACACCTGTATATATTGTAGTACTTAGCTGCAGCCAGTGTTACTGGTGCCTTTATTATCCAGTTCGCAATAATTGTCGTGATTTGCTTTAGTTATGAATTATATATGGGGTTTTCATCACGAACTGACAGCTATAATGTCAGAAATCTATTTAGCCAAATGCATGAAAGGTTTTCGCTTTAAGATACGACATTTATTATTTTATACCCCAAATGCCCTGTTATGGCCGAGAGCGGGGTGAGTTCGCCCTTCCTCTCGATATACTCACACGGCCGCGCGTATACAGTCTCTGCCAGGGAAGTCCTACTCACTGCCTTCTCGTGGCGGGGGTGTTGTTTACGAAAATGAGAGGACGAAAAGCGAATGTCCGGCGCTTTAACCGGATTCCAAATCAATGGTGCACATGGGCTCCAGTATCCTGCGGGAACAAATGGCGTAGGAACCAATCGTTGGTCACCGGCTTCCATGGGACTGCATCTTCTTAAGCTGCTCCACTGCCTTGTGGGTTAGACCTTCAGGTCAAAGGCTCGGGGTGTGGCCCCCCTAAGATAACCACCTGCATCGGTCTGGGCACCCGGGCAGTATCACAGCCCACACGCAATTAATGAACTGAAATTGTGTGGCGCATATATATTTGGCGCACTCCTGTACCAATATATATGTGTTCAAATAACAATAATTATTCGTCCATAAATTATAGTCTCGCCGTTTATCTTTGTTATAGCCGCTCAGATATCACGTTTTGTACAAAATCCCCTGTGAACCGATCGTACTTTAGCACTAGGCACTGAAGTTGGCGTCGTAACCTTTGAATCTCTAAAACGCTTCTGATTGACTCGTCCATAATTTAGTCTCGCCTGGTTTTCTAACATTTACTGCCTAATTCTACTCATTGTTTAACACATATTCACGGGTGTCGTCTCGTCATTTTTGAAGTTGCATCTGTCCAGTGAACTTAATATTAAAGTAAAATGAGTTTCACCAGGAAAGAAATACGACTTGTAGCATTCAGTCTTCAGTAGTAATGATAGGTCTATTGACCTATATTAATCCTCGCAGTTCGTAACACTGTGGGAGCCTAATCTTGTTTTTAATATATTAACAAAAGTTGCTGATATTACGTGTAGAGAATTCCAATAATTCACTACTCGGTGAAGAAGCAAAACTTCAAACGACTTGATTTCAGTTTTTGATTTTTTTCGAATGTCCTTTCAAATGATCAGTCCTAGACTGAAGAAAAAGAAAAGACATTAATATCAAGGCCATCGTTTAGTATACGATAACCAGTATTAGATCGCCCCGTATTCTTCGGAGATAAGTTGAGGTGTCTCAGTCTTCATAGGATAGACCAGAGAGATCTTTTACCATTTTAGTCCCTCGTCCTGTCATGGAGAAAGTCACTTAATCAGTCTATGACATTATAATGGATTTCAAAACTTTCCAGTTTCAATTTAAGATCCGAATGGGAGGCCTTATCAAAGGTTTTACTTAGATCTACGAGAATTACACCTACAGGAATATTTCGATATTTTGCTGCAGCCCAATCGTCTCTTGCAATCAGCAGATTTTTCAAACATGGTAGGCCTTTCCGAAAACCATGTTGTTCTCTGGATAAAAGATTATTCCCTTCCACATAGTTCATAACAGCCATCCAAATAATCTTTTCCATTAGTTTTACAACTGCACTGGTTAGACTAACGGATCGATAGTTACTAAGTCACTATCCACCTTATACGCCGGACTGATTATTGAGTCTTTCCATTCTCTTGGCAGTTTGGACTGCCGCAGAGCCATATCAAACAGTTTGGCTATAGGTTCAGCAATTGCATTCGATAGGGCTTTCATAATCCTAGGATGAATATCATCAGGCCCACTGGACTTACTAAGTTTGAGATGCTGAAGTAGTCTTAAGACAGTACTTTTCTCAATAACTACAGGGTCCATCAACAAGCCGCCATAATCACAATCATTGGTCGTTCCTTATTGTTGATAGAAAACGCTTTACTGAAATATTTCAATAAAGCTTCAGCTTTTTCAACAATCTTAGCAACGCACTCCTGAATGGTTGATATGTTAGCTCTCCATACATTTGGGCGAGATTTAACCTGATCGTATATCATGTCACTAGCTCTAAACGTGAATGATAAAACAGCGTGATCGCTATTCACTAATGGTGAAAGAATATTTAAGTTGGCAATATCCTCAGTCTCATGAATGATTACCAAGTCCAACAAAGAAGAACCTTGGTTTGCACCAAAATGTGTGGGTTTGGATACATACTGTACGAATGCATGCTCCATTACCGTTATCAGGAGTTTGCTATCAAAGGAGTTTATAGATCCTATCCTCAGTCCAACTAATATCAGGTGCATTAAAGTCTCCTAATATCAAACATATGTTATTTGCACTCCATAGCTAAATATGCTCTAAAATAAAATCATCAGCTAAGCAGATTGGGCTGCGACAGATGACACCGAGTATAAATGTACAAAATCAGATAGTCAGCTCCCAGCTAATGACTTAACAAGTTCCACTATCATGAGATTCGCAAGCAAAGGAGCAGAAGATATTTATATTATTGGCTATGTATGAAAGGACTCCACCTCCTTTCCTACATCTTCGTCTATCACTTGTTAGGTAGAGGTATCCGGATAGTTCTGGAGTAATGTCGAAGTCCTGGACTAACCAAGTTTCCGTCACAGCTACAATGAGGGGCCTTGGTTTGTCCACTAATGCTCCCAGTTCATAGAATTTATTTCTTAGACTACGAATACTAGCATATAAAACTCCTAAAGACAACGGCCTATCCACACAGGCCTTGGTAGCATTCGCTTCTAAGACCTAACTATCCAAAAACTCACTAATCGGAGATTTTTCTCACCATTTTGTCGATGGGTTTCTGGTTCAGCTAGTGTCAACTTCCTTTTTATTCTATATTCAAGAAACATATCGGGCCTTACTTGAATGTCGGTATTGTCGTTACTACGAGCGCTACTTAACAGAAGACCATGTTGCTTCTCCAACCCTAGAATTACCTTAAGGAGTCTCTATGGTCAGAGTTCAACACTGTCGTCAGTTCTCTTACCTATTCTTATCAGTTTTTGACCTGAACTTCTTTAGAGTTATCTGGTGAGATGCTACGCATAAGGTCTCTAAGCTTTTCCAAATCGTGTGCGTGTCTAACTATGGAATCGAGATCGTTTGACTCTAGCAAATTACAGTAATATTCGATGAGATTAAATTCTCAGCCACGCCAGGGTGGAGTTCTGTCTTACTATCAGACTTTGGTAGTGTATTTTGTGACTCAGAATGAAAGTTCGCCAATGACCTGCCAACCAAGTATGTACCGCTTATAGTTCTTTTTCGTTCACTGCTTTTTCTCGTGTGGCACATACGTATTTGGCGCCCCCTCGTACCATTATTTATATGTTCAAATAAATAAATTAACAAATAAACTTTTTTCCTCTGTACTTCCGTCCATTTTTCATCATTCAAGACAGCCACACGCGGACTGTTAGGAACGGTGACAATTTTATCCGGGTCTTCTATTTCTATTGAAGATGCATGACTAGCTGCCCATGTCAATATCAATTTGCACTTCACTCCTCGTTGGTTTTAACGGAGATTTTTTTCGTCAATCACGTCCCGTAACAGCACGTATTACGCTGACACATTCTTCAATGTCAGTACTCGTATTACCAGCGAAATTACCATCTTTCTTCTTACTGGCCAAAGCTAATAGGCTCATAGCCTCCTGGAGCCCCCGAATTCCCTGGTATGGCCAGGAGTGGGGTGGGCCCGCTCCCCTCGAAATGCTCTCACACGGCCACGCGTATACAGCCTCTGCCAGGGAAGTCCTACTCACTGCCTTCTCGTGGCGGGGGTGTTGTTTACGAAAACGAGAGAACGAAAAGCGAATGTCCGGCGCTTTAACCGGATTCCAAATCAATGGTGCACATTGGCTCCAGTATCCTGAGTGAACGAATGGCGTATGAACCAATCGTTGGTCACCGGCTTCCATGGGACTGCATCTTCTTACGATGCTCCACTGCCTTGTGGATCAGACCTTCAGGTCAAAGGCTCGGGGTGTGTTCCACTAAGAAAACCACCTGCTTCGGTCTGGGCAACTGGGTAGGATCACATCACGAAGTTCTACATTGTTACTGACTGAGTGACTGACCACACACAAGTCAAGTGGCTTGTATGGCGCATATGTATTCCGTGTTCCTTTGTATCAATATTTATGTGATCAAATAAATAAAAGAAATCCCTTCTCCATGGGGAATAAACAATTTCGCTGTCCACATTTATAAGTACTGCCAACTACTGTAATCAGATTAAGGTTTAAATCACAATATGAACACACGTGTCAGAGTCGATGAGAAGGAAGGCAACACAAGACAAAATTTCAAACCTTAATCGAAATGTTTCAAGTTAAATAAAAACAAGAATGCTTTTTGATACATTAAGTAGAAAAAAACGAAGATAATCACAACGATTACAAAATCACTGCCCTTTTTGCTCTCAAAGCATGTAGCAATTTAGGTCATTTGTTTTGTGTATTCATTGTAGTGACCATCGAGTTTCATGAACCATCCAATTGTATATGATTGGACTTAATTCCTACATAGTACAAAAGTGAACCGATGACTCGTCTACAAACAGCTTTGGCCAAAGTTAAGTATCCACCCACAATTTGCTTCAGAATTAGATATCGTGTCTCCGACTTGCATCAAGTTGGAAATGAATTAACTAATTGTATATAAGACTAGCAACACCTGAGTATCCAGAGGTCTTTGAAAATAATGTTTGTAAATTAATACTTCGGCTTATTGAGGGATCAGTTGGCTTACGATTATCGTAATTTGTCTTGACTAACCTATCGAGTTTTCGGGCCTTATCCTACTAAGCTGCTTAATTGTTATAAATAAAATGTATTTACTCCTGAGTATTTCTACGAAATTTCTTGTTATCCGGAAGATTTTGAACCTTGAGAGTACCACCACCGAAAATTGATTATGATGTTAAGTTGGACAAAGTAAAGCAGAGTTTAGTCTGTCGTTTCACTGAAGGTTCAAATGACTAAATCTACGATATGTTATTATGTGGTATAATAATCAGTAATGATTACAACATACAATAAAAAGCAAATCTCACGTTTGATAAAAGGTAATTTTTCTATAGGATTAAGTAAAGATGATGAACAGTGATGGTAAAAATATTTGAACCCTATAAATGAGATGTGGATCTGTATTTGTTTTTTAGTGCTCGTTGGGAAACCTTAAGTGATATGAAGCCAAAAGAAGCTGAAGTAGAGTTCATAAATAGGATTTGTCACCTATGTCCATTATTCATATCATATTTGGAAGCCTATTCACGCAGCAAAGGAAGTGTTGCTGATCATTTTTCAAAGTAAGAATTTTAAACAATCGTGATTTTACCTACTGCATTTAAAGATCCTATGATCACTTATAAATCGTAATACGTCTGTCACTTGGGATACCACCTATTCCACCAAGATCAGAAAAATTAAATTAAATTAAACTTAAATTTCATCCTGTAAAATCATATGTACATTTTATTCATTTAGTAGGTAAGAAGTCGGTTAGATGATTGTCATTCTTTATGATATTAAAGCGCTTTTTCTGATAGCTAAGGGGTGGAAATAGGAAATAACCGAGTATATTATGTCTGTGGTTCCATGACAATACGTCTCAAAATTTACTTCATTAAGATTCGTTTACACTCGAGGATTAAGATTTAGTTGATTATTTAAAGATAACTACTTTTAGGGTTTCTTGGTCATTAGTTTTTAAACAACCCTAAAATTACTGCCTTCAGGCCTGTTAAAATAATACCTAGATCAGAAGTTCAAGATTTTAAACATTACTTCAATTACTCCAATCTAAGTAATTGATTAATCTTGACTACATTTATTATAAGTCGTTTACGAAGAACAGGTTTATGTACTTGACTGCTCGAAATAATGTAGATGCAATGCAATTCAAACCTGTAATTTATTGGTTCAAGGCTCAATTCTTTGATTCAAAACATCACATTTCAATCCAAATTTATAGATTTCCTTGTTACTGGAGCAAGAAAACTTGTGGTGGACAGCAAGGTCTTAGTTGATTGGAGTATTAGTGGTCCGTAAATATGATTTTCTCCAGTTGTCACTGACATTTAATCATATTTATTCCTCCATCGATATTTTGTTTATCAGAATGTTATTTTGTTAGGAAAATCTTGTGGCTAGTGGTCTTGTCTTTCATATCAAAAAGTCATTCAGGACTTACGTAAATAATTCAGTTTCGTGAGCAGCCATCACTCGAACATTTATCGCCCCAGATTATCGGTCAACCGGCATTCTTTACTTTAATTTTGACAGTTAAAAATCCATTTATTAAATCTCAAAATTGTAACCCGACAATCAGTGATCATCCATGTCCCTTTTTTTCAATTTATGAGCGCTACCGAGTAGTGAGTTAACTATCAACTAAAGTCGGCTTAACTACATCCTTGTTCAGAACAAAATCTTCTGAATTTCCTTAGGACGTTGAGGCAATCACTAGTCATTTTGTCCCTTCAGATTTTAAGGTAGCGCTTCAATGACCGGTTTAGATGTAACTGGAAACTGACCTTAATAAGGATGGTAAATGCTTAAGCCATTTTTTTTAAACCATGGTTTTTGTCTTTTATCTAGTTGAAAGGAACTTTTAATTATTAAGATGCTTTATCGGTATCCAAAAACTTGCTCGTTCTGATTATTCTTTTAATATCCATTCGGTCCTAGTCCTTTTTCAGCCTTCATACTTTGTCAAACTTTGATAATCCTTACTGTCAGTATTGTCTGATAACGCATATAAATTTTCCACGAGCCATTAATTTACGAGAATGTAATAAACACACATGTATGCTTTATTAGCACTTCTGTTGTGAATTTACTCGTCTGATGCTTAAAGTATCTATCTGTTCTGTAAAATCCTGTAGCTGACACAGGCAATAAAATATTCGTAATTTTTCACATAGTATTCCCTATACTTTCTTTTACTACTTTCTTTATTCTAGAGAAACCAACATTTCTAGTCCGAATGAACCTGCTGGTACCATCGATAATGGTGATCAATTTTGTTTCATTTTAAAAAATGAGTAAGTGCTCAAAGTTTCGAAATCGGAGTTATTAGCTAGATTCTTAAACTAATTTTGAACCAAAATATTTTTAAATACTTAAAAAACCCAGTTTATTTGCTTTTGTTGACTTTAAGCTTTTAGTTCTAAACTGTTTTACGAAATGTATAATAGTTTTCAATGAAACCTGTCGAATATCTATGTAGTAACTTTTGTCCCTAGTCTGCAGTGTTTAATTGTCGAATTTTTCGTGTTGTGTATTTACTTAACACAAGTACCTATCGTCCTGAGAAATTAAAAGTAAAAAATATTAAGTGAATATTTTCAAACCACTGAAAATGTTTATGAACCATTCCCAATCAAACATTTGATGAAATATCAGATATTTTATTTTAATTGTTTTAAACCTCATAAATGAGTTTTTTGGATAGTTGGAAGTGTTACGTTTTTCCCAGTGAATATTCAACTAATTATTTCAGAATTTAAGAGAGTGAGTTGGGTTAAAAATATTCTTGTAGGCCAAAACATTGTTGTTTAGATATATTTCTTGCGTTTTGGTAGTCTTTTTTGTTAGAGAAGTGGCTAGCTGCATGTAACAAAGTGTATGTTTTATTGTATCATCTATTTTATTTACCTTTCTTTTCAGATCTGAAATTCGAGCGGCTTTAAATGCTCAAACTGAAAGTCAGTTCCAATCTTATGCATCCCTTCATTATCCCACAGATGCAGTTAAGGTATGTTATTTCCTTAATCATAATTTTAATGTTTAAATGGGAATTATCTGTCAATCATAATTTATACCGTATGAACCTAGTATTTTCTTGTTTCTGTTTCTTACAAGTTGAGAAGAAAATGTTTTTTTAGTAGAAGAAATAGAAAGTTATGTAATTCCTTTGGGACGAAAAATTCAAAAACTTTATTCTATACAACTTTTTGGCAATTCTACGTGGTTTGTGGATCACTTTACAATGAAGATATCAGTTTACGAACAAGGACAGGCCTTATACTAGATTAAAATAGTGCATCCAAATAGATGCAGCTCACAGTAGCCTTCTTCTGATGTCTCTGCAGGCAACAGTCCTTCCGATTTTCATGGGATTACTATGTTTATGAATTAAATAAGTGTACGAGGAAAAAACGAGTCCGTTATCACCAACGTGATTGAAAGCTTAGAAAATAAACTAGCAAACTTTACTTCAAAAATAAAATTATACCAACTGTTTCTACAATTGCAAGAATTTCTGATACTCTCTGTGATGATTGTTTGCTTACATTATAATTTTCTGTTGATTTTGTAGTCTGAGAACAGTTGACAGCTTACTTTCTCCTCTTTTATTTGTGGTGTCATGTTTATATATCCTTATTTATTAAAATAGGAACTCTTGTGTCCCGTTTTGATTTTATCCTATGGAAATATTTCGTGTGTATTTTAAATCTGTTATATAGTACTATACGCTTAGATAATAAATCTACGATTCGGTTCAAAACAATTTCATACACACTTAGGAGTGCTTTGATTGATATTTTTAAAAAATATTGCAGACATAGTTGCTGTGTTACTGGGAATACATTGATAACTGGCATATGTTTCGGCAACTCAATTTTACCTAAACAGGGAAATCTAGTTTTAGTGTTTGGTACATTATTATAATATGTCATAAATCCTTTGTGTATTGTAATGCCTTATACTTGAGTTTGTTCTCATTTGTCTAAAAACATCTAGTTACTAGTACTACTGATACTTTTCTGAAAATTATTCTTAGATGGTAATGTGTTCAATTTACTTCTTATGAGTTTTTTAAAATTTAATCTAATTGTTTCTCCGCCAGGTATTGTTTAACAGTTTTCGTTTAAATCTACCTTCATGTATATCAAGTTACTAGGACTAGCCTCTTGACTAAAGTCTAAATATATATTGACGTGTATTTTGAATGTTATGAACGTTTACGGAAATTTAAAATCTCACAACCATCGTAGTTATTGTACTTTGTGATCCATATAATTGTTGGTTATTCATACCTCTAATTATGTTCTATTTTGTAAAGGCAAACTACTACGTTGATGGTACTTGTGGGGTTAGGTGGTTAAGTGGATGTTATAATTGGAGGTTCAAAGAACCTTTGAGTTAAAGGTTCGGGTTTCACTCCTTTGGGTTGTATTACTACTAGCCAATATACAAAAAATGTGTTGTTTAAAGACAAATATGCGATACTTTACACATATTTGCTTACTGGAAACTAATAATTGAATGTAATAGTTCATTTCCTTGTCCTATGCTTTTTAGGAACGGAATTCTCAACACCAGTGTTTATTTTTGTTTCCAGTTCAGCTGTCGCTTGATCGTATTTTCACTCATAGATTGTTTCTTGCAATACCTTACAGAGCTGTGGTATTTGATGACATAAGAAATGACGTATATTGAAGTGTTGAAGATGAGGTTTAATTAATATCACTCGATAGTCTCACCAATAAGAATCTAGCTTATAATCTACTATTCGGTCTATAGACCAACGTCCTACACTTTGATCAGTTACACATTTTGATTGATGGTAATTAATCTGGAGTTGTGGTCCAGATAATCTAGACGCTTATTGGACCAGAAGTTCCCCTTTTTCTATACCTGAGTGTTGTGAACGAGGACACTGGTGGGGACAACCGATGTTCTTTAATACAAGATTACAGAATGTTTTGGTAAAATATGGGGACCATACATCGAATACTTCATTTGCGATTTTCCATCATTTTCCCTTCATATTCAGTATGATTCTTCGCATTCTCAATTCCTTTCTATTGCTCTTTCTATTCTCTTCGACTTGGTCTTCTTAGCCTTCTGCTGCCTGGGATTTTCACTACCGATTGGTGTTATATACTAATTATATCTGTCGACATAAGTAACATATACCACACCAGTGCTAAGTTCAGTAGAAGAATGCAGGAAGTAGATAAGATCTCCACTTTACAGTTGTTACTACGACTCAATCTCGTACAATAATATAGAGTAATTGCCTAACCGCTCATCAACATGAATGAGAAATTATAACACGAGCATAACTACATCATAAGTGAAAGTAAAGGTAAATAATAGTTCTGAAATTAATTAACAATTGCTCAATGAAGGTAGAAAGTACAACGATAGTTTATGCGCCAAACAAAATCTTACAATCAGGAAAATATTAGAAAACAACAATCCAAGTAATGCTCAAAATTATCAAAGAATATATAATGTTTAGCAATCAAATCTTTACTGTGCTTATCCAATCATATTCAGATATTGACTTTAGTAAGTAGGATAACATGACCCAGTCATATGCGAATCATGTGAAAAGTTCATAGTGTAAAAGATAAATGGATGAATAAATTGTGTGTATGTACGTGTAAGTTTGAGTTATTAATAGTTGATATTCGGTGTTAATTTGTTTTTATATGAAGTAGAAATAAAAGTGCAAGTTGAAGTTTTTAAACCGTCGATGTGCATGTAAAACCAAAACCATCAAATACATAATTGTAATGCTAAAATATCCCAATTAATTTCTGTCAGAGTAATGATGCATGTGAAATGAACAGGTCGGAGAGATAGGGACCAAATACTTGTCAATCAACATTTGCCATGTGGTAGCTAGTTGAATACCATCCTCTCTGTTCAGACTGTTCTTAATAACCCACATACACAGCGCTTCTGCCGTCAATTTTTTTTTCATGTGTGCCAAAACCTTTCCGAAATATTTTGATCCCTTCAGAATTGATCCTATGATCTATTTCTAACGCATGTAACGCTATCTCTGACCTATTCTCAAGTTTCTTAAGATCAACCAAGAATTTGGGAAAAATTTTCACACATTATTTGTGTTCCTTTAACCTCACATTCAATTGTCTAGAAGTTTCTCCCACATAGGCTGCATTAAAATCATAACAATTGATCTCATAGACAACATTCTGTCGTTCTTCCTTTGGAAAGATACCTTTAACTTTCACTAATACTGATCTTATGGCGTCACTAGCCCGAAAATACGCTTATGTTATATATTTTTCAAATCCCCTTAATTTTTCTCGATGTTTCTCTACGGCATAGGATGGCCAATGTGATCTTTCGGTATATATCAATTTAGTTCTTTCGTTTCTAATAATCTTGAAAAACTTTTGTTAGCCCCAAGTGTTAAACGAAATTGCATTCAATCCAACTTGTTAGTCTTCCTTCTCTGTAATGAGATTAATACTCCTGTTAATTGTTTCAAATATAATTTTCTTAGATAATGTCTTCTCTATACTCAGTGCCCAATGTCTTTCAAATGATATTCTTACAAATAATCGTGAAAATATAAACAATAATTCATCATATAGTATCGAAAATTATTGATCTCACATTATTCGCCCCGTTATAGCAAGCAGTTTTGTCACGTTCTATTCTGCCTATATTCTTCGGTTAATGCACGATCCCGTTGAAGATAAAAATCATCTGGACACAAGATATATTCCAAAGATAAATGATGGGAGAAAGTATTCCAAAGAAAAATTCCATGTGTTTACGTAATAATTATGTGGGTAACGTCTAACATGCTATTGTCCTCCAAATCTGATTATTTGGAAAGGAACCAGCCAGCATTTTCAAATCAGTCAGTCAATCAGCTACAACGTAGGACCAGGCACATATATGCATCGGTCCAAGTTGCCATACCTCATTAGCACAACAAGAACACCGAACCCATAGAAATAGTTAATTCAGTATTGGTAATATATAAAAGAAAGATTGCATGCGAGGACATAGTACAGGAAGAAAGAAGTAGTTCGTGGAAAGAAATGTGTGAAGCGATTTTAATCTCACGGTTGGAAGGAAGACAGAGAGTATATACACTGACGCCATTGTAATCGAGCCTGAGCTATGTCACACAAAGTCTGCAATCATTAGTTACGACAGTCTGCATCTACCAAATCATTCTTGTACTGAACATGCTAGACAATTCATTAAAGGGTTTTACTGCTAACAATTTTATTTATAAAAATCATAAATGATTTTATTTATGAGGTTTAGTCATTATTTTGGGTAAACATGCCCATTATATTTACACCTTTCATTTTTATTGCAATATACAGAGAGCTGAACTTATTGCACAGTTGCAAGATCGGCATTTTCACGAATATATGGCGTACATACAACGTCAATATCGCTTTATTCAGCGATCACAGATTGAATCTTCCTCTCAGACAACCGCTATGTCGACAATGAATGATTCAGTTGAAGATTATCCAGTCACTAATGTAAAGTCAATGGACGGTGTAAATCGTTCAGAAACAGTCTCTTCCAATGTAAGTTGTATTGGTGTTCACTAGTCTGCTTTCTTTAATAATAGAACAAATTAGAAGAAAGCATATATACGATAGAATAAATAGGTTTATAACAGTTAAAAAAATACCGACCACAACAAATTAAGTTTGTCAAAAAGAAAATTTTCTCCAGAGTTGTTTTTATTTCTTCAAGTTAAGAAGCGCGTGTATGTGTATGTGCTGTTACCATCGATTTTTGAGTCACTTTTATTAAAAACTTTAGTTTCTAGTATGTTTACGAGATTTCAGCCTGTAAACTCATACTTAGTCATACCGTCTGAATTTAAGTTGAAATTATTTTAGTACGACTCAGTAATCATATACAGGTTTCTATATTCGGTATCGAGCTACACCTTTTACATGGTAGCTTGGGGTAACTGGGATTATTCAGAGCTAAGTTGTTTGGGTTGTGTTTAAGCCTGGGACTTAAATGGTCAGAAACGGAGTGAATCCTCCACTATTATTCAGTTACTATCTGAACTTTGTTTCTGATCTATCCAGCGTAAAGTTCTAAGTTTTCGTACATGTCTCTTCAATTCATTAAATATTCCCATTGAGATACTGAAAGGATAAATTGCCCAGTTCCTGTGCCTCAATGTGTATTCATAATTTCAAATGCTATTGCGGAACTAGTTATATTGGGCGCACAACTCGAAAAATGCATTATCGTATTTCTGAACATCACCCTTCATGATTAACCAAAGGACAAAATAAAGTAATAAGAATCTGTCCTTACGCGTCCAGTTGATACTAGTTACCACGTAGATAAAACTTCAGCGTCTAAAGTCATTTATAAGTCCCACCGAAAATGCATTGTATGGTTCTAGAATCCGATTCCAAAATATGTCAGAAGTTACAGAAATACACAAAAAAGCCTAACCTATCTCTTCAATTCGTTATTACTAGTCGCAATGGGGATTACATAGATATTGATATTTTAGTCGATCCATGTTCAAAAATTTACTTATTGTGCTGATTACGTTGAGTCCCGCATAAATAATGCACATACGTAATAGTGAACTGATATCTTTGACCGGCTACTATCTCAGTCCAACAGTTAAAACTAAACCACCGTTCTTATGGATCTCGGTTTATGTCGATATCTTATTCAGGTTGCTTGATAATAGGTGGCAATTGGAACCTAGCTGGAGGTTAATTACACTGTTCCTCGGTGTCCCATTCATCACTCTATACATCTTGACTGAGAGTCGATCATGTTCTCATTTTTTACGGATATGGTTTCGCTAAAGTCTATTTTTTAATACTCGTTTATCTCAGAAGCCTAAAAATTAATTTTTACCTATCACTGCTGTCTTTTCCATTTCCTTTACATTTGCCACTGCTATTCATGATGAGTGCTTTCGCTCTTCATCGTGTTTGAAGTCTGATGGGCTGAGTTTCTTGGTTTCTCTCAGTTCAGTAGGTGCCACTGAAATCCATTAGTCTTTCTTAACTTTTGACTTAATTCACTTATGGATATCACCGTTGAATTTTTATCTACTCAATCAGTGCTGAGCGAAGCTAATTTTTCTTTTAAATATGTCGTAGATCCGTCACAATACTTCCAAACCTCCGTCTCAAAGCCATGTGCAGAAGTTGGATGTGGTCCCGTGAAACTCGCTCCGTTAATGGTTGATTATATAGACACCTTAATCTCTTCCCTAAATATCTATACTATTCCCAGTGTATCATTGTCCGTCAAAGTTTCAATTAACTTTGCAAGCATTCTGAGTCTTTTAGTTGTTAGTTTTGTGGGTTAGCGAATCAGTGAGTATATTCTGAAATTATGATACTCTTTTTGTTGGAAGTTTGTGTAGCATACCTGTAGTGCCGTACATGTTAGTCATTTGATATTTTATGTTTGTCATAACAACTTTCTTCTGCATTTGATTTTATTTACTTCGAATGTACAGTTTACGGTTTACAGTTATTATCCAAGGCAAATTGCTTATAAGCTTACTACTGTTAGGTTCTGTTTTCTTAGTGACCAATAATTAACTTAATTTTGTAAGGTGTAGTTTCAGTCAGACCGTTTTAAAAATTAAACTTTGACATGATTTAATGATTTCAGTTGCTGAAAACTTAATGAAAAGAACATCATATTGCACAAATTTATGAAGTGTGAGAGAAGAATGTCGTTTGGTTATGGTATTATAATTTAAATATCCAATGTACTTGTCAATTATTTTGCATTATGTTGGTAAAAACCAGTCGAAATCAACATGATTCACTATGATTCATGAATAACAGGTGGGATAAAAATAACTTATCGAGATTCTGTATATTGTATATGGTTGGTTGCCGTCGTATGCTTATTATAGTTCCTTTTTACACTTAAGTAATAAATCTTGTTCCCAACTCTTTCGTCATCATATTGATTGGGATTGTTGGAAATCTTTTCCTTCAGATCTACGCACACTTATATAAACGTTAATGTATACTTGTATTCCTTTAATATCTAGGAGGACTATATCAACGATCAATCTGTTCTCAACGGCACAGTGCAGTTAGAGCCGTCTTTACATTCCCCCGAGATTCAAAAAGAAAACTCAGTACCCGCTGATGTTTCTGTTAACGACCTGTCTTGTACAGATACTTCAGGTTCGTCTTTTCTTTTTGAATATATTGATAAATTTCATCGTGAGTAAATTTATAATTACAGATCAGATAACTCTTTAGCCATGCTACGAACACAATCTTATTCCACTGACTCATGTCTTCTATTGGCTATTCATTTTTTTCGTATTGTCCGCGTTTTTAACTTCTGTTGTAAGTACTGCGCTAAAATTATTTGGAGGATATTAAGCCTGCATTAAAGTAACATGTATACATGTAGTGGTTTGGCTTCAAGATAATTACTTGGGCTTCGTGTATTAATCATCCTGATAACCGTTATTAAAGATATCCCAATGGTGTATTAATTCAGAAGGCAACGTGAAGCGCCGACTACAATGTATTATTGAATAGTACAGGTCACAAATCTACAAGTGTACACCAAGCGAATTTGAGCAGAAAAGCTAGCGCGCGCGAGCAAGCGAATACAGAGTCCAATCAATTGATGAGATTCAAGCGCATAAATATGGGAAAGCGAATGATTTGTCGAGCGATATTCAAGCAACTAACATTTAAGCTAGAGAGGGACATGTGCGTACTCTTTCATATGTGATCAAGCATACATGTTTATACAGACATGATATTAATAATAATAATAATAATAATAATAATAATAATAATAATAATAATAATAATAATAATAATAATAATAATAATAATAATAATAATAATAATAATAATAATAATAATAATGCGTAGACAAATTGTTACCGATCGTATACCACTGTTCGTTAAATAAGTTAATTGAGAAGTTTGGCAAAATCAACCTTAAAAAACTTAACTGTACGAGAGGTGCTATATACGCCTCAAAAGTCAAATACATCCAGTGATATTTGTTTTAAGTTAAATCTAAAAAGAAGCACACCCCGAGGGCAATACGAAATATGGGCAGAGATGAATATCCAGGCAATCCGCCTACGATGCACATATGCCAATAAAAGACTGATCAATTGCAGTCTTGAACATCAATGGGAAGATCCAAACAAACAATACAAAAGTGGATTAAATACAAAATGTGGTACTTTAGGCAGGAATACAGCTATGTTAGTCAACGTATAGAACTTAGTATAAATCACGTCGACATTCCAAGAGAGTAATTTAATAAAATACAAAACAAAGAAGTTAACATAATAGTAGTACTAACGAAAGGAACTAAACGTTCAGAACATACGTCAAAAAAAGTAACAAGGTGAAGAATATGAAGTATAAGTACGGGAACCTCGGATTTAGAAGAACGAATTCATCTGGGTCATTAAGACCAGTTCTGCATCATGTTGCAAAATGTAGTTCAAATGAAAGAACATTTAGTTATAAACTCTCATTCGCTTGTGTATATCTATATTGAACGTGTTGATGGGCTGCTTGGTCAACTAGTGAAATCTGTCTTGCAAACAGGCTTTTTCTCAAAAAGAAGAAATATTGCTTACCCGTGAACCATGAGGCTTGTCAGTATTCAGTTGAGATTATTTTCATTGGTCATGAAATGATATTTCAAGCACTAAAATATAGTTGAATTGATTGGAAAATATATTACATAGGGATATATTTAAGGCAAGCCAAATCACTGTTTATATCACGCTTCAAGTAATTTAAGTACACAATTCTTCAAGTAACACTTTCGCTTTTGGTCAGAATCAGTAAATAATAACTCATGTAAAGGAGATACATCGGTTTCTGACCTTAACAGGATTTTATTTCAAATGATCATCATTGCCTTTTATATTATATGACTGAATAGGATTACTCATGTTCTGGTATCACACTCAATGAGGCAGATTAGATCCCTATTTTAGGCGTGTATAAAACATGTATGCGGTTAAGGATTGACAGGATTCATCAGGCTTTACTCTAATGTAAAGTAATATTTATATGCATATATGGAATTATTAAACCAATCCACTCTTTGTGTTCTCCCAAATTCTAATCTTCTGAATTCTTCATGTCCCTTTTTTCCTCTTTCCAAATTTATTTCACTGGATTATACTCTTTAAATAACATCTCCAAACCCTAATCTTCCCGATTACTGCTTAGACTCTTGCTACCTCTACCACTACGGGATTTGAATCGACAACTGCATCTCTGTGCTAAGGTGGTGTGGCAACTCGAACTGATGTACGTACGTACGAAGTTCTACGTTGTTACTGACTGACTGACTGAAACCAGTCAAGGTAGTTAATTAAGAATATGAGAATATTTCAAAAGTTGTTTAATTATCATGAACCACTAAGGTGTCCTTTTATCTGAGTATAGTTTATTTGTTACTTGGGAATATTTTTTGTAAAGCTCCTAACTGAAAAAGTACGATTCATATTATGACGAGTTTCCATCCATAGCGGTGATTGTCCGTTTTGGGTGAGTAGGCAATGCTTACCTCAAAAACGTATTTCGTCCCATTGGTTTCTCAAATTAAATGATCAGTTAGTGGTTATACTGAATCGTCTATTACACTGTGCTTTTATGTCATCAAGTCAGCAAAAATTATTTTTCACCCAACATGGTTGGTTTTATGTTCATATTGTCGATTTTATTCCATTTGAGGTGATTTATTTCATTTTTATACCTCATGTTTTGTTTATTAGATCTATTAAACAAATTTTTTTAATATGTATATCCTTGTTAGATCTGTCAACTCTTGATTCAGATAAGAAATGCCTTGACACTGATCCTTACCTAGATGCATCTTTGGTGGTACATGCCCCTACATTATGGACTCGTGGGGAAGTTAAAGAATTTAAACAGTGTTTAACTGAAGATGAAGAGTCTGTTATTCGAATAAACAGCGGTGAAGTTTATTCAGTAAGCTGTAATAATATTGAAAACATTGGGAATTTTTAAGATATGTTATGTATCTCTGTCATTCAATCATACACAAGGTAGAACGTGTTAAACTTGATTTTTTAAAAATTGTAACACTATATCAACACAGCAGGGTGGAATTATCAAGACATACCACTAGATTAGTGACTCTGTCAGTGGTAGTAGTAGAGATTAGGTATAGACAATATGATTCGACGAAGGATGAGCTCACGGAATAAGTATTATATGGTAATTTGGAGACTCAAATTTTGAGAGAAGATAAAGAATGAACGTGTATATGCGACATTGTGACAAGGTCTAAGCCATGTCACTCAACGTTTCTAACCATTGGCCGCAATAATCATGAGGATTCAAGCCAGGTAGTTTGCATCTACCATCACACATATATCGTTAATTTTATTGAATTACATCTTCACTGTGGGCCGTTGCAATTGAAATATTGAGTTCTCAACAGGGGTAAAATAATAGTATACTGTCGATTAGTTCTCTTCAATAGTTCTTCAGGTGAAATAACTTCGAAGTATTATTATGGAAATTCCTTGTTGATAAATTTATCTGTGCACTGGTCTACTGAAAAAAAGTACACTGAAAAACAATCACTGACCACTCAGTCAGATTTTACATATATGGTTTTGGCCAGGCTGTCTGATTAAAGATTCGTTTGAAGATTATGAAGGCACTATCTTAGCGTTTTAGAAAATAGCTTACTGAATAAGTCTGGATTACAAAGCTGATAAAACAGTCTATACAAACAATCGTACCCTATCATAATCATTGCACTGAGTCTTCAAACAGCAGAATTATTAACTTCCAACACTAACTTAACGATGGATGCAAGTAAATTGGTTTGTTCGTAGTTGTTGTTAAAGTGGATTTGCACCAGATTATAAACCCTTTGGAGATGCATATTTGGGATGTACTCATGAATTGCTTCACATTCATATATATTATTTGAATAACCCCTAAAAGGTAACTGAGAATCCCCCTCATTTCTTAGCTCGGAGATGAGAACATTCTGTGTACAGTTAAGAGATAATCGAATGGATAACCACAAAAGTATTAGAACTGGACTTAGGAATTTTGAGATACTTGATTTCCATCAAATATAGTAAGTAGATCCTAGTTTGTACCTACTTGTTCTGTTTGCCTTCAGAATTCACTTTTTCGTTCATTTAAATGTCCTTCAATCTTCTTTAGCTTTCACGTTTTGTTAAATTTTGACTATCGCGTTTAGTTGAAGTGGTGTATTCTTCACAGAGTTTGGGGTGCATAGTGTACTTGGCAGCGATTAGCATTAAAATGGAATCATTGACTGCTCATCATGTTGGTGGGTGCAAACTACCTGGTTGGGGTCTGAGCGATAATCGCGATCAGTGGCTGAGGATTGGGTGAAATTGCTAAACATTCACAATGGAGCAGATGCACTCACTCTTCATCTTTCCCTGTATTTTAGATTCCAGTATTCCTTCGCATATACATTTTTACTTTGTGTTTTCATGTCCTCAATCTTTTTTATGGTCACCGTTACTGCATTATTCCGACCTATTTTATCATGCGTGTTAATTTCACATCGTCACGCTAATCTGGTGGACTAACTTAGACCAGAGCACATCTGTCAGACTACGTTGATGAAGTAAGCCGATAGTGAAGCATATGCTTCGAGGTTTTATGCTAAATTTGTGTAATAGTTCATCTTACAGATACTCTAGGCGTTTGCATTTTTGAAAAACATTAATCCAGGTTCGTGTTCAAACACACCCATCGGGCACGAGTATAGTCTGGGAGTTCGCTACAGATGACTACGACATTGGATTCGGTTTGTTTTTTGAATGGACGGGACCGCTTTCTGATCCTGAAGCGAAACAAAACAACCATATTGCATCAGTCAATGCCGAAGGTAAGTGTTGAAAGGGGGTAAGATGAACAACATTATCAATAAACCTGTCGATTGACTGAATCTTAATTATTAACACTGTCTGCCTTCTTCAAACTACCATCAAAAGACAAAATCAATATTCGCTAATTCATTATTAATTTAAATATCACTCAGGCCTACCCGGCATATATATGTGCATGGATTCAAGTTGTCACATGTACGCATCCTCATCACAGTGGACCAAGACCCACTATTTCACGAGTCGACTTGCCATCCTTACCTAGCACTTTGTGTCTAGCTCAAATTTTGCTTACTCAGCAATCCCAACGTATACAAGTAATGCTTCAAACTTGTAACCTACAGATATTCTTTATTCTTAATAGCTATATTTTATATCCGTAGAGCCGAACAAAGTAAACTGCTAAACAGTAAACTCGCCCTCTGGTTGGGAGACGACTATCTCACCTACTCCAAAAGTGATGTGAATTTGTAAAAGCTGAGCTATCTAAATCCATTCTGAAATTTCATCGGATACCAATCCTCCAGGGTCGATGAGACTTCCAAGATAAGTGTAGTGGTTGATGCACTGAACTACTTCACTTTCTGTCGGATACATGAAACATAATTATGAATTTAACGTTGATAGTAAAGATGCTCATTGGTAATCTGACTTGAGAATTATTCCAAAACCCTTCAGTATTTTCAATTGTTTAGTCATGTGATTCCGCTTAGACAGTAAAACGATTTAGATACAAGAAGAAACTGTAATGATGTTTTAATTTTTTCCAGATAGTCACTCAGTAGTAACCAAGGCAGAGAACCCGGAAAAGTCTAATATCTTAGTTGATGAGATCATACCTATTTCACGACAGAACTCTCAAAACGAAGTGTGTTGTGGATCTCATTTGTATCCAGGTGCCGGGACATATGTTTTCAAATTCGATAACTCTTTCTCTTTATGGAGGTCGAAAACCCTCTATTATCGCGTTTGCTACACATACTAGAGTGTTCATTCTTCAAGGTGAAAAATCCATGCAGTTCGTCAAAAATTTGGCTGTGCACCATAATTTCCTAACTTTTTTCTGTACTTCTACTTTCTTTATAAGTTTAATAAAAATGGTTCAATGTGCCTTTTTATAATAACTAGTGTCAACATTGCGCAGTAAACATCATTTGGAAAATTGAGTTTTTTTACTGGGTTTAAAAATTTTTATGATATATTAGTGGTCGGTCTCATGAAATCTGAAATTCAAGTTGGTCTTTTTAATTGCTGCAATTCGTTTCTGGAAGTTATGTTTACGCCTTCGGACAGCTTGGGGTAATGATTTTCTTACTGAATTATTAGTAAAATCCATTCCTTTGCGGGCGTTTAGGGCTGTAACACGCTTTAATGTTGCTATGGTTTGGTTTTCTTCATGTGATGCACGAGTCGAATTTCGTAGGTATCTGCTTATTCGAAATAGTCGCTTATTGTCTGCTAAGACTTCACCTATTCATAAAAATAAACGAATTAAGAAGTTCATGTTACAATGATGTATGAGGAAAGTTTATTCAAAGTAAAATAACTTGTTTTTGCGTCTTGCACCTTAGTAAAGACTTTGAGTACTGTTGCTATCAATGATACAATAGATGCGACTCACATTCCACATGTAGACCTTCATTGTGTTGTAGTAAATTAAGATATGTTTAGAATTACACATCCCAGAACGACTTTGTTGAGGCACCTACTCATCATTGTTGAGGTCGTTGATGCACGTTTGAGTCATATACTAGGATGGAGTAGGTGTTCAGTATTCCGTTTTAATGGCTCTATAACAAAGTCATTACGTAATATGAAACAATGCGACAATTTCCGTATAATGGAATACTTTCATTTTGGTTTATCACTGCTTGAAAACAGGTCAGCAGTAACACGGTTTCTACATGGCTAGCCTTCCATAATACAGTAGCAACACAAATTAGTACTGCTGATAGCAGCTAATACAACAAAATTTTGTAGTATGTTTATCCATCAAGTTATAAGATACGTGACTTGATGTACTATTTAAACTAGCAGAATTTGGTCTCTTCCCCGAGACGTCGCATTTACAAACGATATGTAGTCTGGTAGTATACTAGCAGAATTTTTATCCTACTACTAACAAATGCACGATGAGAGAAAGCATGTTTACTTTCTGTTGAATTGTGAGTATTCACATTAGGATAAAATTATTAAATACATATAAGTCACTTATGATTCAAATCACATGCTTGCTGAAATCAACATGAAAAAAATACTGCTTTTACATATCCAATATAATGTTCCTGTCGTAAATACTCTCACTATTTTTGAGGCATATAACTCAAAGTATATATATGTATATAGACAATATTAAGAAAGATACCAAAATGTCCGAGGTTTTGAAGTAGGTGGTTGGTAGAGTTGTGAGTTTGGAAATGAGTTAGTCAGACAACGTAGAAACTGGCACATGTGTATATCGGTTCAAATCCTTATACCTCACCAGCACAGCAAAATAAAACTGTCAAGACAAAGCCTAAAGTCGTAGAGGTGGTAAGGGATTAAACAAAAAGGTAAGGCTACCAAAATACAATTCGAGAGGAATAGTTGCGTTTATAGTTAGACGACTTATTATCTTGAGAGGCCGGTACGTTTACATCTTCAAGTCTTTCACGGCTAGACATGACACAAACTATACTTTGGTACACTAGCAATTTAATATGTAGCGACGTTCTAAAGGATATTAATTACTGAGACGGTTGAAGGAAAATTTACCTTACCTTTTTTACTTAGTGGGATCTGAACCTGTAGCCGGAACAGTGGTGATGATTGAACCTAGCGACCCAGATTGCAATAAAACTGTCAAAAAACGTTTTTTGGGTGTTTGTTTCATGAATCAGTAAACGCTATCGTAGCAGACAGTGTAGGCTGGGGTATAGCCCAACACGGTCGATACAAAACTCAGAAGACAGTGATTCGAACACTCGGTCACTACTTGGTTATCAATCTAAGCACGAAACTTGACTCTTGATTATATATTACAAATGGGAAGTAATGAGGTACATAGTTTGCTACCCTAATTATTTGCTTAAGTACACTGAATGATTAGTCACCTTAAAGTAACAGGTTTATGTTGTCTGTGTGCTTTTGGTAGGTAAGTGTCAATTCTAAAACTTGTAGTTGAACATAATTTCGTCAAAGTATAACAAATTCAGATGGAACTGGTACTTGTATGCAGGCTGTAGTAAGATTACCGTAGCCATAATCCATTATTTGAGGGTATCACTCATGATATGGTTAAAACTCAAGCAATACGAATATGTCAGTGCAACAAGAAAGTAAGATTGAAACTTTCCATTACAAGTCACTGGTATAGCAAGCATTCAAGCAGCAAAACTTTGACGGATCACATGGGGTTTTTTCGTGATGGAAACCCTAATTCTGATACCAACCTAAACCATCAGCTATAAATCACACCTCTGATCCCTCACACTAGTTTACAACAGTCATTAAATTGACATTCTCAGGGTCACTCTAATATCGATTAGAGGTCGTCCATAAATTATAGTCACACCCGATTTTGTCTTGAAGTATGGAGCCCAGGAAAACGCTGATCTATGGAAAGTCACGTGAAGTGATTTTGGACATCCTTATTTGTTACCACAAATTGAGCTTCGTTTGGCGTAGATAGATCATGAGAACAATCAGGGAAATAACTCATACATAAGGACCACCACAGAAATTGGATACCAACCGCGAATTTCAAAAAGGGCAGTGATTTTTGTACTTGTTGTGATTATACTTGCTTTTGGTACTTATTGCACTAAAAAGCATTCTTGGTCTACTTTAACTAAGAGTTCTTTGGTTAAAGTTTGAAATTTTTTGCTACATTTTGTCCTGGGTACCTGTTTTTAGTCCTTGACTAAGACCTGTGTTCACATTGTTATCGTTTTTTGTTTTTAAACCTTTTAAATCGAATTACAATGGTTGGTAAGACTCACAAATGTGGGCAACCAAATTGTTTGTTCTCCGTTGAGGAGGGAATGCAGTGTGACGACTGTAAAAAGTGGTATCACAAAATGTGTACACGACTAAGTCCGACGGCTTACAAAAGATGCTCGAAGCCTAACTCGCATTGGCTTTGTGTGTTCTGCTGTACGGATAAAAAGGTACTAATACAGGAGGCTATGGGCCTATTGGCTTTGGCCTGCAAGAAAAACGATGGTGGAAGCACTGATAACAGGAGTACTGACGATGAAGAATGTGTCAGTGTAGTAAGTGCTGCTACTGGACCCATTAAACACCTGACTGCGGTTGACGGGAACGTGAAATCTCCGTTGACATTAACGAGAAATGAAGTGTCGCCTGATATTGACATCGGCAGTCATACACCCCTAGTCGAAATAGAAGATCCGGATAAAACTGTCACCGTTCCACATAGTCCAGGTGTGGCTGTTCTGAGTGGTGACAAATGGACTCCGGTAAGAAGAAAAAGGCTGTAGGCAAAACGCAGCTGGTCAGCAAGACATTGGAAGGGACTTTATCAGAAGAAAAATCCTCACCGCGTGAAAGGACAGATCTCTCTGAGAGATCAGTCATTTTTCATAAGATAAGAGAATCTTCAGACACTGAACCAAAGGCAAGATTTGAACATGATCTCAATCATATTAAGACATCATTAAGTAAACTACTCCCAGATACAGTTTCAGGAGTTAGTATTTGTAAGCTTTATAGAATAGGAAAAAAGGTGGATTCCGAAAGTCCTCAGAAAAACCGCCTCCTAAAAGTTACATTCAACACGGTGGAAGAAAGGAACCTGGTTCTAAGTAATTCACGTAAACTGATTGGGTCCGGAATATATGTCCGTGAGGACCTCAGCCTAGCTGATCGTATTAAGAGAAGGGCTGCAGAAGCGGAAATAAACGAGCGTCGCCGAAATGGTGAAAGAAACCTCGTTCTTAAGGGTTTTCAGATTGTAAAAGTTCGGAGCAAAACGATCCCCAAGCCACTCTAGGTGGCAAGGGAAAGCTCTCCACAGACTTAAAAGTGTGCTACACAAACGCTCGCAGCCTACTAAATAAAATGGCGGAGCTGAAGTCAGTGGTGGATAAAGAAAAACCGGACGTTATCGCTGTCTCGGAAACTTGGTTAACGTCAGAAGTATTAGATAGTGAAATCCAATTGACTGGTTTCATAACCAGTAGGGCTGATAGATTAAACCGAAGGGGAGGCGGGGTTATTGTGTACACGAAAAGTACCCTAACTATAAGATTAGCTGAGACAGTAGCACATGTTTCAGGGACATGTGAACTGGTGAGATGCAATTTGAAATGCCGAAGGCAAGATATTGAATTAGTTGTAGTTTATCGCAGTCCAGAATGTGTAGCAGATGATTTTCTCCTCAGTAAACTTAAGTCCTGGTGTAACAACGGTAAAAGCCTTGTAGTAGGCGACTTTAATGCACCATATATAAACTGGGTTAACTTAGAAGTAGAGTCATCTATATCGTCGTTCGACTCCAAACTGTTAGAAACCTCGATTGGACTAGCATTATTCCAACACATTAGAGATCCCACAAGGTACGACTTAAGAAACTCTTCTTCTCTTTTAGATTTAGTCTTTACACACGGTGATGACGTTGGTCAAAAGGCTTTTCTCCCACCACTTGGGAGAAGTGACCATGCAGTCATCTTATTCAAATTCATGGCTGAGATTGCTTGTCAAACAATTGCGCCGGCCCGTCCTAACATATGGAAGGCAGATATGCAGGCAATTAACTCCGCAGCATCGGCTGAGAACTGGGAAATTGACTCAAAGGCATCAGTACAAGAGGCATGGACTCTATTCAGACAGTTATACAATCGGGTAACTCAACCATATATACCCTGGACTGTCCCAAAGAAAAAGAAGCACGGACATCCCTGGTTAGGGCGGGATATTCGACGCTTACTAAGACAAAAGAAGAAATGCTGGGATGTTGCCATCCGCCTTGGCACAGCAGGTACGATGGAACGCCACAGATCGATAAGAAACGTGTGTATAACTAAAATTCGGGAAGCGCAAAGAAAATACGAAATGCAGCTGGCAGAATCTGCACTCAAGCAGCCCAAGAGGATATTCTCGTACATAAACTACAGAACAAGGACTCATCACTGGATTCCCAACCTAATTAAAGTAGGAAGTGAATCTGAAATGATAGAGGAAGATCAGGAAAAAGCTGAGATTATGGCTGACTACTTTGGGGCAGTTTTCACTCAGGAACCTCCTCTAGAGGAAGAACCAGACCCAATTACAGAGTCAACAAACCAGCTGCTTACCGTGGACTTCGACCAAAACGATGTGCTTAAGGCTCTTAGCACCCTAAACATGGAGAAGTCAACAGGACCAGATGAACTACACCCTAAAATCTTGAGACATATTGCCCAATATATCGCAGCCCCACTGACTGTGATATTCAAAATGTCACTTGACCAAGGTGTGTTACCTATGGACTGGAAGGACGCAATCGTCACTCCCATACATAAAACTGGTCTACGACAAGTTCCATCAAATTACAGACCCGTAAGCCTCACCAGTGTTGTAATTAAAATACTGGAAAGGATAATCAAACGGACCATAACAGCATTTATGGAAACCAATAACTTGCTGAACATGGCACAACATGGTTTTAGAAAGGGTCTATCCTGTACAACGAACCTCCTTATAGCTAGGGAGCTCTGGATTAATGCGCTAGACAACGGAAACTCAGTGGATGTTGTCTACATAGACTTCAGTAAGGCTTTTGACAAGGTGCCAACTAATAGACTGCTATTGAAGTTGGCAAACCTTGGTATTGCCGGACCTCTTTTAAAATGGATTAAGGATTTCCTAGTAGGTCGTAGGCAAAAAGTAAGAATAAATTCCAAGTGCTCCATCTGGAGACCAGTACTTAGTGGAGTACCCCAAGGTTCCGTCTTAGGTCCTTTACTTTTTATAATGTACGTTAATGATCTTACAAGTATAGTACAGTCTCCAATGTTATTATACGCTGACGATGTAAAAATTTGGCGAGTAATAACTGGTGACACGGACGCATTTACTCTTCAGGCGGACTTAAATAATATGATAAACTGGTCTAAAGAGTGGCTAATGCCTATCAACTCGGAAAAGTGTGTCTACATGCACTTGGGGGATTCAAAGGTTAATACGTACAACATAAGGGATGTCATTACCCATAGTCCGGTCTCATAAGGACCTAGGGGTGACAGTGAGCAATGATCTTAAGACGACGGCCCATTGCCGGGAGGTCGCAGTTAAGGGGTTTCGAACCCTCTGGGATTTAAAAAGGACATTCACTAAGCTTGATACTACCATGTTCACCACATTATACACATCCTTAGTGAGAACTAAGTTAGAGAACTGTGTTCAGGCTGCAAGCCCCTGTTTAAAAGGTGACTCAGACATACTAGAAAAGGTACAGAGGGCAGCTACGCGTGCAATTCCGGAACTCCGGGGTTTATCATATGAAGAGCGGCTTGAAAAACTGAACCTCTTTACTCTGTCCTATCGCAGACTAAGGGGAGATCTAATATTGATGTACAGAATACTGAGAAATGATTTCGGACCTAACTTATTCTCTCTTTCTTCCCACTAGATCGGGACACCTCAGAGGACATAGCAGGCGAGTAGAAAAGCCAAGAACGAACAAAATACCCCTGGCATACAGGTTTTCACACCGAGTCATCAATACTTGGAACCTGCTGCCTGAAGCAGTGGTATCCGCACCTTCAATTGACTCTTTCAAGAGAAGACTGGACACTCACAGAAGCATACTAGAAAAGGAATAACATAGGCCGTAGGCCTTCTGTAATTACTACACAAATCTGAATCTGAATCTTATAAGACAACGAATATATACGGTATTTTATTAGACCTAAATATGGGGATGACTTACATTTTATTATTTTATTGAATTGCAGCAAGTTGTTTAACGTCGAGGCTACGAGAGGAGCAGCCTCATTAGACATTCGAACGAAAGCACTGTCTTTCCACTTACCAGTCTATTCAAATGTTTGATAGCAACAGGGAAACGAACCTTTTTAGACTTTGGTATATAGAGTTCATGAACTTTTCCGAATTGCTCAATGTATTTTCGCAATTCAGATGGTCCAAAATATTTGGGTAAGCGAGTTATGTGCAGAACAACAAGATTATTTGTCATGCTTCTATAAAGTAACGCAATATCCCGTCCTCGCGCTTCAATCTTCAGCGTCCAGTCTTCACGAATGAGGATAGTAGATTGGTGGACCTATGTTAAAGGTTGCAGCCTGTTTTCTAGTAAGGCTTCAGTTTCTCTCTAAAAATTTTCACTGATGCGGCGGAGACCAATTGTTTGGATAAGACAGTTTAGTCATTAACTGCTCTATGAGGAAAACGAAAACGCCGTCTAAGTTTACGAGATGATGATTTTTGAACCTTTATTTCTATTGCCCCTAAGATGATTAGTTCTGAAGAGTGGAAGAAGACCAGCCATTTTGACACCCAAATCGTTACTAAAGATACGGAAAACCAATATAAGGTCACTTCACGTTCTATGTTTCGATAAGGAGAAAAGGTTGTGTTGTTTAAAGGGCCCATAGTTACGAAGTTTGCAAAGACTCTTCGTTAATCTTTTCACACACAATACATGCCTGAGTGTGTTGGTATCTTTAACGAGACATGAACTGACTACTTGGATACAGAACTCTAGGTGTGGTCTCAAATAGGTGGGATATGAAATTCGAAAAGTGAAGCAGTAAAGAAATCCCTTAAATTAATGGTTATGCAAGTCTTCGACATTTGATGCTGAACTCATTAGTTTTACAGGATACACCCAGTTGAAGGCGTTCGGTTACGCATCCGCACCAGACCATGACTGAGTACGCCGTGCTACCCATCCTCCGTAACTGATAGCCCGCTTAGAATAAATGCTCCTCGACACACCGATAGCTCTTCAAATATATTGTCGAACTACTTTCTGACTTCTGATTCGACTGTTACTCCTCAGTTTCTGTGTTGCTCCGCGTATGGAAAAGATATACCGTTGATTGTATACTGTTGACAAGTACCATTGTAGAATTCCGTTGCACGTCGTTATTAGTATTATTATAATAGTAGACCTAATATTAAAATTGTAGATTTGTCATGATCTGACTGCCTAATCAATAAGATCTTACGTGGAAGTTAAATCATCATCTATTCAAACTCATCGTACCATAAGAATAAGCCATTTAAAGTTTGGTGCTTTTGAAGAACACATTTAAGCTAAAGACAGAATAATATATTTAATGTGAGTATAGGCTTTCATTCAGATAAGTTTCATTTACACTAACCCTCTGACTTTAGCCACAGAAGAAATTTCTTATCTGTTCTCGTACGGCACCAATGATTCAGAAGCTCCAGAGAGTCTGAATATGATTATAGTGAGAAGCCTTATTAGATCCCTTGCTAGAAGTTCTGAATATGGCATCATAAGACAAACTATTGTATTGAGATTCCCTTCAGTCCTTTCCCGCGAGTAGCAAGTTGGTTAGGCATGAATACATATTCCGAATCTCGTGCTGCTCAGGGATTACCAGAATTTATGATTCCATGATGCTTTGTAAATGAGTCCGGATTGTTTTTTCAAATAACTGATCTAATATGCTGGTTAAAATGGTGTGCTTGTAGTTAGTCGGCGACCATCTTGTCCCGATTTCCAGTGTTGGGTTAGTTACAGAACCCCACAAATCCTGGGGAGCTAGTTTTAAGAACGATCAAAGCTGAAAAATAGCACGAGTGTTCATGAAATATTTTCCACGAAGGACGGCAACAGTCGTGCATGCAAACCACCAGAACTCGGTGTCTTACTAGGTTTGAGGTTAATAATCGACCGCATAACAGCTCCCTCAGTTACATGTACAAGTCCTATAGTTGGTATCCAGTTGGTGTGGTTATTACAAGTATTGTTAAAAATAACCGTAGGGTAAACTTCACTGAAAAATTTGATAAAGTCTCAACTTTGACAAAACTTGATTCGGCTAGTATATTCGAATTTCCGTGCAACAACAATAGTGAAATCCTATCATCACGTTTTGTTCTTCGTTTAGTATACGAAAACAGCCGTGTTTGGGAAACACAGCTATCTTATGCCAGTTTTATTTCTTAAGTGGTGCAACATCTAGCTTCGGTCCTTTAACATATATTCCAGGTTTTTGGTGCTCGCAGTTAAATGGTTTGTGATCTGTTGACGAGAACAATTCCCATAAGCGTTTCGCGCACTCAACGGCTTTCAGGTTTCCTTGTACTGAAGGCGAACACTGGTGAGTTCAACCGAATTATATTCAACAAAATATTACAGAGTTAATTGGTAAAATAGAAAAACCATACTATACTACCTAGTTTGCAAAATGTTCAATAGTTGTCTTTGACTTCATTTTCTTGCGTTTCCATACTAATTGCTTGCTATTCCCGTTCTTACGTTCTTGATAATCCCAATCTTCTGCTGCCAGACATTACGTTCCTGACTCACGTTATATACTACTTATGTAAATATAAGTAGCACGCACCACACCCATACCGATCTGTGGATGGCAGTGTGATGCTTACGTGTTGATCATGGAATGAATATTATTATTGTTGCTTCGAACGTGACTCTAAACTTATTCCATTCGTCTTCAGCTGTCCCATCTGCATCGACCAACTAATTTTTCGAGAGAACGCGGCCTCTGATTGCCGTAATGTTAGCCCGACAGGTATCGTGACCGCGTGGAGCATATGCATACTGTATTAACCGAAATCCAAAGTTCAGTATTACGTGTCCCACGTTCACAGGTGGGAGGAGTTACTGAATTTAAGTGATGTTATCACATCTAAAATTGTTGTGATGGGCTCGCATGGGTGAATGGAATTTTCATGGAAATTGCGATCTGTGGAGATTGCAGTAATTTCATAAGCTGGCCTAACAACTAGCTTCACTATTGATTTCACGGAGTTCTAATGAGAAGTGGTGACCATTGAAGTCAAATTCTTACTGGATACAAGACGTTATCCACTTTAGACAATGAATAAAGTGTTGCGCATGATCCCGAATCGATTGAAGATGGACATTAACACCGTTAGGTTCAGGCTTAATGGTCTAGAGGTTAGGCGTTTATACGCGAGGCCGTAGGTTCTGATTTCGACATTAGGACGTGAACAAGAGTTGGATGGGACTAAAAAAGAAGGCCGAGGACATGGTCGGTTGGGGAATGCTGGTCAGCAGCCTTTGCTCCATTGGGAGTAACAGGCGTAAGTAAGTAATCCAACATCCTTGAGTTGGAATTTCAATTCCGACTGCGTCTAGTGTGTGACTTTTAAATGATCTACTTGGATGGATATAAATACTTATACTCAGGTTTTTAAGTAATTTTTTAGGTCACTACCCTATCCCAGTTATCTCAACAGAGACATTTGTAAGACCTTTATTGATCGGGTTCTACCAATAGTCCATGTTCTCAATCTAAATACTAGATACATATTCGTTTTCACAGCACATTACATTAGCATCTTGCAGTTACCGAACCCTTATTAATTCGTGTTTTACGTACTCATAGCCACAAATAATTCTACTGGAAGCTGATCAGATGTTTTTTAATACCATACCCATGACCTTAGAACTTGTCATCAAAGACTCTCTGATTTGAGTTTAGGAGCCTGCTTCTCACAAGTGGTTTCCCCTCCCCACTTTATGTGATCGAATCAGACAATAAGTTCAGTTTAACTTCTTATGCGGTCATGACATCTCGACATCCTACCTGTTACGTTCAGGGTTTTGCTCGTTCCCGTCATTGAAGTCCGGCATATCGATCTATTTGCAATTTACGAACCGAAATTAACAATAGAGCCAAACTCCAATCTAGGTACCAAAGTTTATTCTCAATTTACAAATAGTCGACTGAAATGTCGTTCTAATAATAATCAGAACAATTATAGAAACAGACCTTCAATTTTGTGGGTTTCCAGAGCATAAGCTCCCAAATACCAAACCAAAAACAAAGCGAAACCAATACGTTCGAAAATAATGATACAATCAGACTAGTCCAGAAGTTGAGTAAAACAAATACATCCAAAAACACAGTGAAATTAAGAATATTCAATATAAAGGTTTCAACCAGCCAAATGTCTTCAGTTCTCTTTTAACACTACCGTCTCATCATTATTCTCAGCAATGTCTGAGTGAGCTACATTTCTGTGGAACAACAATTTAGTACTTTATCACACCTTAGTGATAAACATGTCATATATTTGAAGCTGTTGATGCGAATGACAACGCGTAGGAGAATTTAATCTAAATAATAACTTAACTTCAACCAAAGCGGCTCACTAAAATATGAATTTCAAAAAGAAACCAAAGTTGTCCAATCATCAATAACACCATACTCGATAATTAATCGAACAGTGTAACATCCAAAGACAAGTGAATAAAGTATCTAAAAACTGTGGTTGTTCCTCTGAATCCTTAAAAACAAATGCATTTTTCGAGATCGATAAATGGCTGCCGAGTCAACAAAATCAAATATAACCAAACGTTTCGAGGTCATTATAGTATCCATGATGGATTAACTTCGATTAATGTGTTTGTCCTTTTTACGGTGCATTTTCAGTGGTAGTAGATATCTCGAGATTAGACTTACAACGTCTTGAACGTACACAATATCATTCATGTCTTATGATAAACTGCCCTCTAGAAATCTCATCACTAAAGCAAACTGTCCGACGGTTTCATAATGGGATACCAATGAATTTAAGTACTAGTCCCTAGATAACCTGAGATAATTAGAAGTGTTTGAATTATTATACAAACTAGGAATCCCAGAAATAATTAAATCTAACCAAGAAGTACTACATAAGCACGAACGAATGTACTGTATTTGAAATTCTAAAACTAGCATTCAAAAAGTACAAAGGAATCATTAGTTCATACAAACACCACATCCTCCACTACTTAAATTGGTGTTTAACTTTCTGCAATCGATTTATGTCCTCTCCTTATATTCATCCTGTGTTTGTTCGACAGTGCATTGGATGTAGATTGTATGATATAGAATATACTGATTAGTATTAGGATTAACAACTGCAATTGGAACATACTCACCTGGGTCCTGGAATTGTATACAATTACCATTTCGGTTGTGTACTGAAAACATGTAGATTTGACTTGCA